GACTTGCTTCGAGAGTTCAATGCCCCTGACTCTAAATACTTCATGTTCTTGCTATCCACCCGCGCAGGTGGTCTTGGCCTCAACTTGCAGACCGCTGATACCGTCATTATCTACGATTCCGATTGGAATCCTCATCAAGATCTGCAGGCCCAGGATCGTGCTCATCGTATTGGCCAGAAGAATGAAGTCCGAATCCTCCGACTTATCAGCTCCAATTCAGTAGAAGAGAAGATTCTCGAGCGAGCAAGATTCAAACTTGATATGGATGGCAAGGTTATTCAGGCTGGTCGTTTCGACAACAAGTCATCTGAGACCGACCGTGACGCCATGCTTCGAACATTGTTAGAGACTGCTGATATGGCGGAATCCGGTGAGCAAGATGAGATGGAGGATGAAGAACTCAACATGCTCCTTGCGCGCAGTGATGATGAGATAACTGTGTTCCAGAAGATTGACGAGGAGAGACAGAGAACTTCGCCCTATGGCAATGGACCAGGCAGCAAACCTCGACTTATGGGTGAGGATGAATTGCCAGATATCTATTTAAATGAGGGCAATCCTATTTCGGATGAGACGGAGGATGTTGTGCTGGGTCGTGGTGCGCGTGAACGCACCAAAGTCAAATACGATGATGGTCTCACTGAAGAGCAATGGCTTATGGCTGTGGATGACGATGATGACTCTCCAGAGGCAGCTGCGGCTCGCAAGCAAGCCCGAAAGGACAGGCGAGAGAACAACAGGCTGAAGAAGTCTGGAGTCTCCAACTCGGTGGACGAATCGCCATCGGGTAGTAGAGCAAGCACTGAGGAGATTGAAACCCCCAAGAAACGAGGTCGTAAACCAGGCAGCAAGAACGAGAAGCGTAAGGCCGAGGACGGTAATGATGAGCCTCCTCCCAAAAAGCGACGTGGGCCACAAGGACGCCCCAGCAAAGTCAGTCTGGAGTCACGACTTCCACCACATCAGCGGGAAGTCTTACAAAAGAGTCTCCGTAACTTGTACGATGCTCTAATGACTCTGGAGGTGGACGATATTGAACCCCCCGAGGATGACGAGTCGGATCCTGGCAAGCGTCTCATCATCGGACCCTTCGTCAAACTGCCTCCCAAGCGCGATTACGCGGACTACTATCTCATCATTCAGAACCCTATCTGCATGAACCAGATACAGACTCGGATCAAAAAGGAGGAATACACATCATTAAGTGGACTGCGAAAGGACATCGAATTGATGATCCGCAACTGTCAAACTTACAACGAGGATGGAAGCATTCTGTATCAAGATGCTAAGGTCATGAACGTAAGCATAATCTGTCTGTGGTTCTTCGTCTGATTTGTCGCTAACGTGTTGTAGGAATTCTTTAACTCCAAGTACCAAGAGGAACTGGTGGCGCATCCTGAACTTCAAGAACTTGAAGAAGGGGTAAAGGACAGTTCAGTGGCGCCCTCTGGAGGAGGCGGCACTCCGCAGCCCAGTGGCACCCGGATCAAACTGATTTCTAGTGGCTCGAAAGAAGCAAACGGCGGTAGCACTGCTGCTCAAAGCGACGAGGAATGACAGATGCGGCTGCCAAGGGACGATTCTTGATCGACAAGATCGGGCCGCAAAATAGCCTGTAAAGTTGTATCGTCCAAAGCGGCGATTGTTTGATGATATATGCAATGGCGTTCGGCAGGACAGGTGTCAATAAACAACATGCGATCAGGGACAGGGAAAGAGAAAGCGAACGGAATCGAGGACCAAATACCATACACAGCCGACGCATTGACAGAAGTCGTTTCATGGACCTCCCAATGGACGAGTCTGGAGGGCGTCAAACCCTGCAAGGGGATGGCGAACTTGCGCTGCGTGTTTAGATAAATAGTAGGATGTATTTTAATTAGAAACCTTACATGCAGTAACTTTTATTCATCTCTCTACCTATAACGGCGACAGCGGTGGTGATGATTTGATGCGATAACATTCTGAGTTTGATAGTAAGTACAGGTCAGGTGTCTTGGATTCGATGCTTCCTCAACCCAGCTCAGCTCTCTCTGCGCAACAAACCTAGACTTGTCCTCATTCGCCACACTCCCAACACGCCGACAGTCTTAGCTGGACCTTGACCAACGTCTGCTTTCCGTTAGGGCGATCTTAATGGACAGAATTTCATAATGAAGAAGACTCTGCTTCTTTGTTTTATTCATGGTTTCAAGGTATACACATCCATACCGTGCCTCTACCTCTCGCTGCCTCGTGTGTCGTCATAGTCAGTCTCAGCCATAATACTAATTTTATCAAGGGCGGCGAAGACACGTTCGGTGTTGATTATCAATTCACTAAGGACCTACGCGATTTGGTAGGGCAGGCTTTGCCAAAGGTTGATGTTGAAGTGGTTGTCTATCCCAAATATGAGACTCGTGGGGATTTGGGCAGTTGTGTGAGTCGCTTCCGCGACTGGTGAGTATTCCTTAGTGGACAGCTGCTGTTACAAGGGCATTAGCTAAAAGCGATTGCCATAGGCTTCAGAACAAGGTCATCGACATGGAGGTCGCAGCTGGCACACCGTCGCCAACGATAGAGCCTTCGGTGCGAACCATCCTCGTCGGCCATTCCATGGGTGGCATCGTGGCGGCCGAGATGCTCATCGGCTTAGCTTCTGAGAAGCCTATCTACACAGAAGACGGTATTCAAAAGACCGAGAAACCAACCTTTAATTCCCTCATGTTTCCCTACATCCAAGGTGTTCTCGCCTTTGATACTCCTTATCTTGGCATATCTCCTGGCGTGGTAGCTCACGGTGCAGAGGATCAGTACCAAAACGCTGCACAGGCTGTAGGTGCAATATCGCAGCTGAGCGGCCTCGGAGCATCACTCTGGGGCGCCAAAGCAGCAGGCTCCCCTTCAACATCGCCCGCTCCCCCAAAGATAGCTGGAGCGCTGCCAGCTCCCTCCACATCTGGTGGCAACTCATGGCAAAAATGGGGCAAAATGGCTATGTACGCTGGCGCAGCTGGAGCGGTAGCAGCTGGTGGTGCTGCAGCATGGATGAAACGCGACCAACTCGGTGAAGGTTGGTCTTGGGCGTCGTCGCATCTCGAATTCGTGGGATGCCTTGCTAGAGGAGAAGAACTGCGCAAACGAGTGGCGTGTCTTCTTCAGTTGCGAGAAGAGTTGGACGTGGGCTTTGCCAACATATACACTCGTCTTGGTAAAGCAGCGCCGTCAAAGCAGATCAACGTCGTTGGTACCGTATTGGGGCAGGACAGGACATTTTGCAATCTTCCCAAAAAGCAGCCTGGAGGGGTGTGGATGGAAGCCATCAACAACAAGGCAACGGACGAGGCTGGAGCACATATGAGTAAGTCAAGCCGCTCGAGAGACAATCGCTGTACTGAGACTTTTTCCAGATATGTTTACGCCGAGAGAAAATCCCGAGTACAACAGACTGGCACAGGATGCCACTGAAGTGATTCGTGGCTGGTTACAGAACGGCTGGTATGAGACGAGTGCTGAAGAACCACTCCTGTTGGAAGACGCACCATTGACTGAGGACGGCCTTTTGCCCGAGACTCCACAGGTCGAAAAAGCTGTTTAACCTGCTGGATTTCTGTTTCTTTAGTTAGATATATCTACACCTAGACTATATACATATATATATATATGAGTGTTTGTGTGTGAATCACATCGAGGTAGCTCTTGGTTCCCCAAAGTCTTCCAGTTGTATGCTATTTAATGGCATTCTTCTCTCCTCTTTTCTTTACCATTTAAATTCCTTTTATTGAGCCTTCTGACCCTGGGCTTTCAGATTTCGCATGACCTTGCGCCTCTGGCTCATCAAATGTGTATACAAGACATAAGATCCTGTGCGAGGTTAGTATTGCAGTCGCACACTCAGCCTCTTTTTAGCTTACCAGGAACATAGATAACCAAGACGGCGTAAAGTGCCCACTTATAGAGCTCGTTAATGTTGCCCGCAGGATCAGTGGCGAACCAGATGAGCATACATTCACTCAGGATACCAATGGGGTAGAGCACAAAGAAAGTGTTATAACGCAACCAAGTAAGAAACTTGGGCTGGTAGCCGGACAGCGAGAGAGCGAAGAAAGAATAGCGGATAATCTCGGTGACGGACCAAGCGATGAGCATGGAGGAATAAAAGGGCGAGAGGGCGAGGAAGGGGAATACATCGACGATGGCCCAGACGAGCAGGAAACGCGAGGCGACCTGCATAAGAGTGGTCATAAAGGAAGCGCGGACGACGCCTGTAGGGGACATTTTATGTTAGTATACACCACAATGCAATGTCAAGAAGCAGGGGAATTATACCAAGCATCGAATGCAGTACCTCCAGCCCAGCCAGAGTCTGCGTCCATTTTGTATATTGGCCAATATTAGGATAGACGTACTCAGGCCCGTAGGCACTGGCAAGCATGGCGGTGCGGCCGAGCACAACAGACCATTGCACAGCTGAGAGGAAGTTGTAGAAGATCAGATAAGCCTTGTTTGCTATTGAAGCCTCCTGTTTCAGGGGTCGTTTTGCGGCCGCAGTATTGGAGTCCATTACTGCCAAGATCTGGGAGCCGGGAATTTCAAAGTTGAGCAGTAGACTATAGTTTGATCGAGCGAGTGACTGCGAGTCAAAGGCAAGGTTGAAGCCTTCTGTTGGTGTGAGTGTTGACGATGGAAAACAGATGTTGAGGGTGGCATTGAATAAAGAAACCTCGAATTTCTTTATTAGGTTTAGCGCCTCTGTGTTGAGTATTTTTGGTGGGGATACGAGTGGCCTAACCCACTGCTATCCAGATTCACATGCTAATGAATATCTACGTACACTCTAGTCTAGGCGCTCTCTATGAGACAACATTATCACAATACTTCACCGTTGCTTTTGGGCAGAAGAATTCTTCTTTGATCATGATTTGGCTAGTCTCGTACTAACACTATGCCATCTGAATCCAGAGGTACTCAAAGAGCGAGGCCTGTGTGCGTGGCCATGATGTTCTTAACAAAGCCGACTCTCAATACGTCGCAGTCAGTCTCTGGACCAGGTAATCACCACTATTGATACCTTCGTACTTCTTATCTTTCTCCGTACTGAACGTCCCCGGGATCGCCTCAATATAGCTTTTGAAGTTGGGGTTACAAAAGTATCTGCTACCAAGTCAGCCCGGAAACGCCACAGTAAAACACTACTATACTCACGCAATGCTGTATCGAGGTGGGTATGATTCAGCTTGCTTCTGCGGTGGCTCAACAACTCTATGGATAGTGCTCTTGATGGTGTCGTTACTCCATCTCGCAAGCAAGTCGCCGGCATTGACGACGACTGTGCCCTCGATTGGTGTCGCGTCGACAAACTGTCCTGTTGGACTCTTGACCTGGAGCCCCCCTCGAGCATCTTGGAAGAGAAGAGTGATGGATCCATAGTCCTATTCTGGGGTCAGGTTGTGACTCGTAGGATCAGAGGAACTTACGCTATGTGCACCAGCTCGAACTGTGCCTGGCTTTGTTTTGAAGATATTGGACTCAACGGCTGGATAATGCAATAGCCGCAGCGTATTGTCTCCGACGTCGACAAAAGAGTCAAAGAAGCTATCATCGAGCCCCATTCCAACAGCAATAGCTTTCATGACCTCCACGTGCAGTTGGCGGCACTTCTCAAAGAATCCAAGCATATCCTTTCGAAACCCAACAAGGTCGCCGGTTTCTTCAAGCCATCTATTCGGACGTCCGGGCTCATCTTCACGACCAATCTCAAGACTTTCTTTCAAGTCCGGCAAAGCGGCACGCACTTTCTCAACCTCCTGGATATCCTTGAGCTGACTGACTTTCTCGCGTCCAGGGGCGGAATAGCCTCGGTTTGCCTCTGGGGTTGTCCAGACTACCTCCATCTTCTTCTCCAGGGGTTCCTTGAAGAAGCGGGCTGATAGATCAAATGCATGCTGTAAGTCTTTGGGGAGGATGGGATGGTTCTTGAGATAGATGAATCCAGCTGTTTTGAAACCGTCGAGAATGGCATTGGCCGTTTCGTTACGCTCCACAGGAGTTCCGCCGAGGAAGCGCGAGAAGTCAATGAGCTTGAAACAGGAGAAGCTTAGTTGGTAAGAGCTACAGTCTGCTGGGCATTGGATTACTGACGGGAATTGACAGACCCTCCTTGCTCACGGCTAAACCCGAGGCCATGGCAATGGTACTCGTAGAGGGAATATAGTCGACAAGAAAAATGGATGGAAAAGGAACTAACTGCAGTATTTCAAAATAGGTTGCATAGAAAAACTAGTCGTGAGGGACGTCTTTGACTCTGCTGGCATCTGCTAGCTACATATACATAGGCACAACACCTCTAATACAAGCCGATAAGCGTGACGGCACATTCCTCGACTTGGCAAGTAGAAACGAAAGAGGCTTGCCGGCGGCCAACGCCTAACCCCTCAACGGTTACTGATAAGCAGGCGATACGACATCGCAAGGTTGTAGTGATAACAGCCATGCGGGGTTGGTATCGATCTCAATCGCTCCCGAGTAGCATCTCATGCGTGTCTCTCAACTTGGGTAACCCGATTTGTTGATCTGCAACGTTGCTACAGCTTGGCCCACAAGACCTGATAATAAGTGTGTGCTGGCTGTGCCTCATCCAGACATTCTAGCTTGCTTCTTTACTTACTCGAAGCTTTGTCCAATTTCCATTCTCACACTCCCACCATTGCCTCTCTTCTCAGTAGCTGAAACACCATGTCGTCCTCTTCTTCCCGCGTGGTAGACATACATACACACATGTACCCTCCCTCATATATCAAAATCCTGGAATCGCGTTCTCATATCCCCCTCGTCCGCAAGTTTTCTCAAGCACCTGATCCAAGACTCATCCTTCTGGAGGCTGAGGTCAAGGCATTGGAAGAAGCGACACAAAACCCTGAGGCAAAACCACCTGGGCGACCTCTAACATCGCACTATGCATCGCTTGCGCAAAAGTTGCACTTCATGGATACGCACAGGATTGATATATCTGTCATATCCCTAGCGAACCCGTGGCTAGACTTTCTGAGCCCGTCCGAGTCAGGCGCAATCGCGCAGTCCGTCAATGAAGAATTCTCGCGCATGTGCAGCGATCACCCTGGAAGACTCTTTTTCTTCGGAACACTTCCTTTGACAGCAGCTCTCGAGACTGTCCTCGCTTCTATAGAACATCTTCGGATCCTCAGATACTGTCGCGGGGTCATTCTGGGCACTTCAGGGCTCGGGAAAGGTCTAGACGACCCTGATCTTCTCCCCATCTTCGAGGCTCTCGCAACAACAGGACTGACTGTCTTCCTACATCCTCACTACGGTCTCCCGAATGATGTCTGGGGACCTCGAGCGAGCGCCGAATACGGGCATGTGCTTCCCTTGGCCCTCGGCTTCCCTATGGAGACAACAATCGCTGTCGCTAGGATGTACTTGGCTGGCGTTTTCGACAAAGTCCCAGAACTGCGCATGATCCTCGCCCACAGTGGTGGAACCCTACCTTTCCTTGCTGGCAGGATCGAAAGTTGCATCATGCATGACGGGCAGCTGCTTCGTGAAGGCAAGCTTAACAAGGGCCGCCGAACAGTGTGGGAGGTATTGAGGGAGCAGATTTATCTCGATGCTGTTATTTACTCAGAAGTTGGGCTCAAGGCGGCTGTCCAAGCTAGCGGTGCTGATAGGCTTATGTTTGGCACAGATCACCCCTTCTTTCCACCACTTTCGACTGATGAACAGGGTGAATGGGAGAGCGTGAGCCTGAATGCGGAGGCCATTGCTCTTGCAGTGGGACAAGACACGGGAGACTTCAAAAACGTCATGGGGATGAACGCTGTCAAAGTATTGCGGCTCGACGCTGAATCATGATTCTAAGGGATATATTAGCGTGATATAGAACACTGCGTATAGACATAGTTACCAACCCTATTCCGTATCCTTTCTCTAAAAGACCTTTACGAAACAGATGCATGCTCCGCAAATCGAACTTCAGCCTGGTGTATCCTCGTTTTTGCATCAAGTAAACCTTGCTCCGCTTGTTGGTACTCTTCAGGGGTCCCTTCATTCTGCCGTGAATTCCTGACTGCCTGAACCGCGCGGAGTTTGTCGCAAACAAGCTCCCAGTAAAATTTTTGTTCAGTACCGAAGTCAACCGGGAAGTCCCCTGGTACGTCCATGGCACCATTGATTGGCCCGGGTGCTGGCTTGCCCTCTGAAGCCTCCGCGGCCCTTCGTGACTTGCGCAGAAATTTCTCTCTCGCCTCGTCCTGTTTCTTCTTCTCTTTCTTCTCCTTCAGTCGTCGGCGTGCTTCCGCAAGGTCTTCGACTTCTTGCGCTGCAGCGGCTTGGCGCCTTTCCTCTTCCTCGCGCATGCGCCTCTGTTCAACCAATCGTGACCTCTCCTTCTCGATCTCTTGTTTCTCCCGCTGCTCCTTTTCTGCTCTCTGTACCTTCCAAGCATTCTCTCGCGCCTCGAGGTCGTCAACAAAAGCCTTACGCTGCTTGTCCATAGTCTCGCGCTCTTGTTTTCGTAGCAGGACAGCCTTGATGGCGCCGTCGTAAGCGCCGCGCGCCCCTGGCTCGGATAGGATGTCGCGGGCGCGTTCGAAAAGCTGCCATTTTTCCGCATCGAAATTGTCGCCTGCTTTGTCGGGATGGTATTTCAGAGATCGCTTGCGCCACGCGCGATGGATGTCTTCCTTGGGCGTCAGGGCATCGATGCCAAGGAGTTCATAAAGATCTACATCTTTGGAGGCATATTCTTGAGCGAATTGCAGCAAATCGGCGGCTTTTGTGTCAGACATATCGGAGTCTACTGGATTATATGTTGCTCGTAAATAACTGTTCGAGTGTGGGGAAAAGCAGAAGCTTTGGACAATACCTAGGCAGGCTTGGTTGAAGAATCACGAAAGCACGTGACCTCGGAGCCATTAAGCCTTTGAGATGGAACTGTACTCCGTAAGGTTATTTGATAAAAGGCTATTAAGGTGGTTGAAAATCTCATGTCCCAAACAAAGTACTTGTTATGATAGATTTCCCAAATGCGAGGCGTTGACGCCTCGTATGGCCCGAAATATGTACCCACCATACACGCAAGAAGACTTAATACGGTCTTAGAACAAGGTGAGAAGATACTGTCTTCAGAGAGCATGTTAAACTCATCGTCGGATATCATAAAGTAACGTGACATTATCTAAGTCTTTTCACCCTTGGGACTGGAGTCAGAAGAGTACTGCCACCTCCTAACCACCAAGCCAGAGCCTTCAACTATTTACCGTGTCCGCAAAATGATACACATTCGGTGATCCTGCTGACAAGCTGAGTAAGTATCGCTCATAGGGTCCTAAAGGCTCTTCAACCATTATCCGTTGTCTTGCCTCTTTGGGGCCATCATTCTCATTGCCAACGTATTCCCAAACCCATCGTCCCTTCGACCAATCGTTAGGATGGCCCATATGATCTTTTCCACCGTTCGGGCACCAATCAGGCTGGAATGGAACTGGATCGGTATATTTCTCCCGCGTTCGTTTGAGTTTCCAGTTACTGAGCAAAGCTGGGCAGTCCCAGACGTGGTCATCATTCAAGCCGAGGCCTTTGCAGACAAGCCTGATTCGTACGGAGCTGTGTATTCGCTCGTTTGTATCAAGAAGGTATCTTGACTTATCGCATTTCGATTGGCGGTCAGTTGGCCTATACAGACCTGGTGTACGAACTGTTTGGCCAGAGAGTTTGTAGAGGAGACCTGGAGCTTTACTTATTGTCCCAAGGCCCCAAGGTCTAAAGGGGCGGTTGTTCTCGTAGATTGGGTTGATCGCCCACTGGCGTTTCTTCGTCTTCTCTCTCCTCTTCCTCGACTTTATACTGAGTTTTGAGGGGGTTTTGTGGTAGAACTTGAAGTTCTGGAAGAAGCATCGTTCTAGTGCAGGGAGGTCGAACTCAACCCCAATTGAGGCCAGTTGGTCCATCATCCCTATCTCGAAGTCAGTTTCTAAGAACATGGTTGTTGAGTATAAGCTGTAGGGAATCCTCACATGCAAGTGTGATGTTTGACATGCCCTGGTCTTCCCATCCGCCACCACAGTTACCATGATTCCCAGGAAACCATACCTGCCTGAGATCCGTTGTGTATTTGTTCTCCGGGAGCCTCTCCCAGACCGCTGGTGTGAAGGGGGGTCTTGTTTCATCTAGGGCGAGGGCCTGGAACGCATGTTCAATTCTATCTGACAGATTTGTGTCATGCCACTTGAATGTAAGAAGCTGGTCAGCAATCCGAGTTCTTGAAGATTTGGAGGTGAGACTCATTCATCATTGTCGGCACGAATTCCCAGTTTCTCCAGCCATAAAACTCTAGGAATTCCGAGGCTACCCACGGTATCCCAGACACCCACTGCTTTGATAGTGATGATGTCACCTTGTCCTTCACTCCGCCTCACACGAGTGTAGCCGAGTTGTTCCAAGCGAGCCCTGTAAATGTCCGCAGCGTCCTCTCCTTTTGGTTTATCAGGGAATGGAATGTTAGGGAATGGATCTTCATAATCATAGTCCATCCAATGCTGCATATCTTTGAAGATAGGGTAGAAGAACTCAACGCCCTCCCGTGTGAGTAGGCCTAAATTGCCAATCATGCCTGCCACAGACCGGACTGTGAAAGCACCTCGGGAGAAACCAACGAGTATTATCTCATCGCCATCCATATAGTTGGAACATAGAAACGAATATGTTTCCCGCATACGCTAGAAGAAATGGTTAGCCAACATCCTTCATTATGATGCTCCAACACCCTCCCTCACCTCTGCGAGTCCCATACCAAAAGCACCGCCAGTAATACTATCGAGTACGTTGCTACCTGTACCAACACCTGACTCATAGTTGACAACTTGAAGCTTGCCATCGCTGCACCTCTTCTCAAAGCAACGGGATATTCGAGTAACGTTGGAAGGTATCTGAAGAGAACCCTCTTTTCTTAGCAAGCCGGCTTCTTCGTAGCCATTGTCACTATCCATCCAGGTGCCATCGCAGCAAGCGATTAACCGCTTGATGGTCTTAGGGGTAGTCTCTGTCGCCATCGTCGAGATACAACCGCCCGTGGGACCGTGTGTTTCAGACGCCAACAAAATAATGAGAGAAGGTATTCGTTAGTCGATGGTGACGATGCAGACGTTCAGTGCGGCAGCTTCGACCATTAAATAAGGCCAGAACGGCATCCATGAGATAATTTAAGCGACAGGCCAAGACCATCCCCGGTCTCAACCACAGGGCTGAGGCTCGCGAAATTACATAGGTAGTGTACAGTCAGACGACGATCCAAGTGTTAATTTCAACCTTCCTGTATGTAAGCCAAGGTCGCAGCAAAAGTACTTCATTCGATGTCGCTAGTTTAATTCAATTGCAAGACTACCTGATCAAAGTCAGCGAATGGCTCTTACAACCCATCTCTTATTGTACAGGAGCTAGGGGAGGAAAGAAAACACAGGTCCTTAATCCTAAATAATAAAAACTTAGGTAATATAGCCTAAGCTTAAGAATGACTTTTACTAAATTTATTTTGATACCTCACAGCAAGGTTCGCTGTTTTCTTGCCCCCCGAGGAAGAGATATCCATGGCACACAGTTGGGGGTCCGCAGCAACGCAAGCTGTTGCTTACTGCCTGTTTACCTACTAAAGAGGGCAAACACAGCGACTTGAGCCCCTTGTCCAACAAGATCCCTACCCACCTAATGCGTAAAGGCTAATTTGCTATGTATTTCAGTGCTCAGCTCCGATGATCCTGTCCCTGGGTCTATGCCAGACTAGCCCAGTACAAACCTCAGTCCTTACTCCCGCTGGTCAGCATTCTTAGATGCATTCGTTCAGTTTTCGCTCCAACTCGAATTCTGTGCACAGCCACAACACCCTGAAAGAAAATATGTAGGCTCAAAGTGCGACGATCAGTTCAAGAACTCATGACTGGTGGCAGTGTGAGCTTGCGCCATGTGTCACAATTTTGTTTTTACTCACTTACATAGGTAGTACGTATATTGGATATTGCGACAAGGAATCGACGTCCTACAGGGGACCAATAGATTCACCCCAAAGTGAACTCACCTCTGAAGGATATCATAAATACCTTCTAACGGATTGTTTCGGCCGTTGCCTTGTCCAGGAAACGTACTTAGTCAGGAGGATCGCATAATCTGATTATTCCGCCATGCTACTGTAATAATATGATGCAGCCATGGCACGGTATAACCACTGACAGGGGCTCTGTCTCAAAGAACAAAGTACGGTTTGGCAATGATTGAGAAAGAAGATTAGTGAATATATTCAGATATGTCTCCAGCTGAGACATACAAGTATTGTATTTATACAGTATCTTACAGCACAACTTCATTTCTTACTGCTCTACTTTTCATTTCGCTGATTCTCAGCATCAAGACCTTCTCTCAACCACCCCGGCACAAAAGCCTTAACCTTTACTCTATTGCGGCTTTCCTCCTCGCCCCAATCTAGGATAAACTCGTCCTCGGGGTTGAAAGCCCCCGACGCCGCATCTCCCGGCAGTGTCACATCAGTCATGATCTCGAGGCGGCACAGCCCGAGCCCAATGTTTCCCACACCCTTGAGCCACTTGCCGGCGCTTCGACCTCTTTTCTCAAATCGTCCGATGCTTGTGTCTCGTGGTATCATGTCTGCAGTCACACTCTCAAGAGAAGGCGTTATATCGTCCGCGTGATACTGAAGTGTTGTCGGCGGTGCATGCTCCGTTTCGTAGACTACACAGGGCAGAATTCGTTTGCGAACTACACCACGATGTCTGGTGCGGATTGTAAGTTCCTGGCCAACATAGCAGCCTTTGTGGAAATCGATTCCTTTCATAATATCCATATTCGTTTCCTGAGGAAGAGCATGCTCTCGAGATATCTCATCCTGACCTTCGGGAATACCATTTAAATATCTTCGTATTGTGTAAGCTTCCTGAGTGCTTGGTTCGAGATCGAACTGGGGAGGGTGCTGATCTAGTTGCAGTAGCCGATACCCCAGACCGGGGGCTCTTGGATCCTGGAGAGAAAAGTTGGCCGACTTGACGATTGAGTTAGAGTTCGCAGAATTTGAGTCGTCCCACGCATGCCAAACTGTCGCCTCATCATTTTCCAATAAGCGAACGGCTAGCTTTGCTCTGAGCTTGTAACGTTTGATATGTTTCGCGAGCGTCGACGCTTGGTCTGCATCAACTTCAATCAGATATCCTGGCTCCTCGGCCGAAGCTCCTGAAGTATTGTGATTCGGGTAGATGAACACATCGTAAAGTACTCTGCCAGTCGCAGTCAAAAAAGCGGCATAGAACCCATCACTCCTCGGTTTTCCGTCCTTCGTGGTCACGTTGGCAGTCACAATTCCCTGCAGAAACTTTGCTGAGTCTGGGCCGGTGACGGATATGAGCCTTCGTGAAGTCAACGATGTGTATCCAGAAAGAGGCGGCGGGGGAGGAGAAAGCGAAGTCGCGTATTGGCGCCGTTGCAGCCGGTAAGTACGGTATGTGAGGCCTGGAGAAAGATCGTGAGCAATGGCTCGCCTCGGGAGAAGTCGCATGATAGCAAGTGTGCGGTTCTATCAAGACGTCGACATGTTTTACACTGAAAGGCAACTGATTTGATTTGCGAAAAGCTACACAATGACGTACTGACAACGCTTGGTCCGTGCATTCGGCTCGCTCACGGACTTCGGACTTTGGCAATCCACGAGAACAGGATCAACATCTAAATTCCCCAAGTCCGAAGTTTATTATGCGGAGGAGCTTACTGCTTATCCTTGTTCCCGAAATCCAGGGGATTGTCTTTGGACATGATTAATAACTAATAGCTCTCGACGAATATCGTGGGTGTATCATCAGAGCGGTCAGCAGTAGCCGCGAGCAACTTATCTTATGTTGTCAGCAATATTTACGGGAACTCTGAGATCTGTAATGGATTTAATAGCCAAGAGATAGTACCTAGACGATGCTCTTGTCCAAAACATATCGTGAATGCTAGCCCATTGACTGGCTGGCCTCATTCCGCGTTGCCTCCCAGCAGGTCAGCAGCTCACCCCCAAGACTGGCAATAGATAACATTCAAGTAGTGTGCTGTTGATCAGCAGACCCCTATGTTAGACTCAGCATCAACTAGTATGTAAAGCTTATCAAACCCGCATGGTTTGCTCCCGCAGTCCCGATAACAGAAGGTCTATTACCTAGGTAAGCGTTTCGGCATGAGATCAAGTCTATCTCGGTCACACAGGCCACTTCCCCGGACTCATCTGAACCTCAGTGGCCTGATCTGAAAAGCCAATGAGACGCGGTCCTGACGTCCGATTTCCGGCCCGGGATTGCTCGGAGAGGAAAGCGGAAAGATGTGGGCCATCTTCAGGTCCTGTGACCGACCAACGCCGGCCGATGCGACGCCGTGACTCCAATAATGTCCGTATCGGACCTTGTGTGAATTTTATCGACAGGTACTAGTCTGGCTCGCAAAGAGTTACAGATTTGATACAGAGAACGCGCAACATAGACCCAGAAAACGCATAACGTTCCATGAAGAAGCTTTGTGTTAAATAATTGCATCTATGTGACGATTTCACCATCCTCTCATACGATTCTTGCATTCTGATGCTGAGTATTGTAGTATACGCGTATGCGTAACGAGCGATAATGAGCGATAAGGAGTGAAAAGGGCCTATCTGGTCTTATCAATCTCATGATCTGTGATCCTCCATCGGACCCCGGTTTCCCCCCAAACTCCTTCTAGAGATCGACTTTTAGCTCAACGGCCAATGCTTCCGAACACGAAGGCTGAAGCTTCCCCTTCTTCTCAGCTACGTGGTTATTGTGAAGAAGACCGTGCATAATCATACACAATGCCATGGCAAACAGTCCAGACACTTCGCTTAAGCAGGAAGCAGTCAATTCTCCTTTACCGCCTCTATCAAGCCAGTAAGGGGCTACTTGGGCTCCTTCATTCGCAAACCGAGTCGATAATGGTGCATAGTACGTGCTTTGAAATCTTACTCCTCTAGGGGAGGAAAGAAAACACAGGACCCTAATCCTAAATGACAAAAAGACTTAGGTAATGCAGCCTAAGTTTAGGATGACTTTTTGCTAAGTTTATTTTGACACCCCACAGTAAGGTCCGCTGTTTTCTTGCCCCCCAAGGGCTCCTGTAGGATGTCCTGTCCAGTGCTGTCCTGCCAGGTCAGCCGTCGGTGAGAGACCCAGAAGCGGTCAGCTCAGCTTGCTTGGGCGAGACACGCCCTGGGCCCTTGCATGGTGAATGGTATGTACCTGAGATTATGGGGCCACGAGCCTCTCGGCTAAGAAAGCCAAGAAGGCAACGAGAGGATATTAGTGGGTAACGAGATCGAGTGGCCGGGAAACGTGTTCATGAATCTAAGGAATAAGAAAGAAAACTCGCGTCCCTTCTTTCTCCGGTCCGCCTCATCGTGATCCATCGGACAGGAGAATTCATAAGTTATTGGGCGTCTCGACCCTGCCCAAGGTAAATAATGATAATGGAGCCCTGACCCGGCAGTACGTATGTAAGGTTTTAAAGAGTTCGACTTCAAGCGGAGGCGACCCGCGTACGCAAATTTTGAGCATGGTTCTATCCTTGTTCATGATTGAGTTGTCTATGTCGACGTTTCGTAAGATATTTGAAAATTCTGAAGAAAACCACCACTTGTGGAACGCTAGATCCAGTTGGACCCATTTGAGGCTCGATGCGGCGACGGCTGGTGGGGGATGATGAAAAATCACTGTTAGTGGAAGATCCAAGCATAAAAAGATTGTGACATTGGGCATTGAATGACTCCTCAGGGATGTTTTGATAGTTCCGCCAAGCCTGTACTCGTAAGTCCTTCTTCTTCAGCCAAGGGATGGAAATGGCGGGCGGGCTATACGGCCTGGGCGGTTTCGTCCGTCTGTGGTTTTTGCCAGGGCCTCTTCTTTTCTTCTTCTCTCCTGCGCCCTGGCGTCGTCGTTTCCAGCCATCGGGGCTTGGTAATGTCCGCTGATAGTCTTGTCGTGATTGATGTCAAACGAGCCTTTCTTCGACC